GTTATTTCTCTTTTTTGATTAATTTTTCATGCAAATATATTTTCAATCTTTTGCCCTCATTATATTTCATTCATTTAATTTTTTTCATCAAATGTTTCTTTTTTCATTTTTCTAGATTTATTGCAACTTTGAATAAATGCGTGGGCTTCCTGTGAACACAGGGAACCCAGCACTTAACTGTTCTGTCCAAAGTCACCAAAGCTCAACCAAAGCGCACCCCTACGAAGACCTTTGCTTCTTTGGTTGGCATTTATGTAATCCTTTGAAAATACATCATCAACTCTCACCTGTATGAAAACTACTCGTATATATTTGCCTTTGCGTAGTATTAATTGACTTAAGAGGATTTTAAGGAATATGTCGACTGATTCCAAGTGGTCTTGGGTGGTTTGCATGTGTGCAACCATTGCAAACATGTTGATGTTTGGTTTTGCTCTCGGGTTTGGTGTTTATCAGCCAGTATTGATGGAATATTTTGGTGAGAATAAGGAAACAACATGTAAGTAACGAGATTCTCTTATTTACTTATTTATTTATTACAAAACTCAATTGCTCATTTTGTTGAGATGTTACGATACTTGATAACCCTTTTCAATAAAATTTGTTAGTCGTTATTTTCCAGTATGAAGCTCATCTATTTTTTTCTCATAAGCTTTTCTGTCTGTTAAAGCCATCAATTTYGTAAGATAGATCCACATCCATTCTTGTTCTATTCCATTCATCCTTACATTCATTTATTTTTAGTCATATATCCACACTTCTGATTATAATTATTATAACTAATAGTTCCTTTCTATATTCAGCAAGAGCGGGATCCATCACCATAGGTCTCATCCTCTTCAGTGGACCATTTGCAGTTTTTTTAACTGATCGGTTTGGACACAGAGCTGTTGCAATGACTTGTGGTTTAATGTGTTCTATATCTTTAACAGTTAGCTCATTTGTGAAACACTTAATGATCCTATATGTGTCATATAGTGTTTTGTTTGGGTTTTGTGGTGGCATCATTTTAAATGTTTGCTATACAATAACTAGAATGCATATCACAAAGCATTGGCCATTGGCTGCAGGAATAGTTTCTTCTGGATCTAATGTTGGATTATTGATATTGACACAGTGCAATGAGTTCCTTATTGAGGCTGTTGGATGGAGAAATTCCYTTAGAGTAATGTCTGGTGTAATKTTTTTTATTTGCATTGCTGCTGCARTATTCCAACCTATCCCAAATCAAAATAATGAACATGAATTAGAAGGAAAGAAAGTCCAAAATAATGCAGGAGCTAATCAAGAAGCTGTTTTCAAAGAAGAGGAARTCACATTGTATATGAAAGAAAGAGATGAAATTGCTAGTGAGAACCACATGGAAAGTCTACAACTAAATGTATCAAGTCAAAAGGCAGATTTACTAGAACAACCAAACAATGAAATAACATTAAACAGAGAAGAAGTTATTATCCAGGAACATAGCACAGAAAGACAAATTGGCAATAGAAAAATGACTTGGAAAGACTGTTTCTCATTGTTTAAGAACATTACATTTGTTGTCGGTCTGATTTTTGCTGTGCTTGCATATTTTGGAATATATTCTCCACATATTCATTTGGTATGTTTTATATAGACTAATTATATTCACTTGTTTTATTCCTTGTGTCAGACTTGGCATCAATATTTCATTGTACTAATAAGGATGGCTGTCAAATGATCCTTTGATTGCTGATTACTGTTTACTGATAAATCATTTTAGAAGTAATTATAATTTGGATCTCATCATTGAAACATTGGGGTCTAAAAMCATCACCCTTTAAAACTCTAATTCTGTCATTTTCACAGGTTCAGTTTGCYAAGGATTTGGGTATCTCAAGCAGGGAAGCAGCACAATTTTACATATATTTYGCAATTGCAAACATTATTTCAAGAATTGTTATTGGTCAAGCAGTGCAAAAGTTTAAGTTTTCTCCATTTATTGCTCTCCAAATATCAATACTAGTCAGTGGGCTCGCAGTTATTTTCCTGTCATTTGCCAAGAAATATGTACACTTTGTTGTGTTTGGCATTGTTTATGGTACAGCAAATGGATGCTTTAT